TAACAAGTCCCCCCCTCCTCCGTCCGCTCGCAGACATAGGGGCTGTCGATCAAAGTTGTCATCCCCGGCGATGCGATGCCGCGGCGGGCAGCGGGAGAGGAGCGGAGCGGCCGGAGCTCCGGCGGCGGAGGGAGAGAGAAGGCGGCAGCGCGACGTTACCTTGTGGATGTGCCCTTCCTCACATCGCAGATGCTGCATTTGAACGCCTCGGCGGTGTTCCTGAACGTGCACACGCTACAGTCCCAGTAGCCGTCGTCGGCGGTCTGTTTGGCTTGTCTTTTTGGCCTGAGAAAACAAAACGAGATAAGCGTTAAGGTCAAGTTTTTTTTATTTTTTAAGAAGCCCTACCGCCGACGTATTTCGTGAATTAAAAACAAAAGAAACTGTGACAAACGCAGCCCGCTGGGTGATATACGGACTACTTAATGTGGCACAAAGCGTGGCGGTGCTGTCACCGACGTTGGGTTCGAGACCCGGCCAGTACGGGCTTATTTGGGTTGATAAATCTCCTCGGTGGCGACTGTCCACACCGTCCGATTGTATCGCCAGCTAGGCTAGCAGGCAGGGAAGCGTTGCTAAAAAAAATTTGGCATCGAAGCTCGGTAGGTCGGCTGACGAAACCGACACCAAACAATGCCCATTTCGACATTGACCCACTAAAAGGCTTCGTCAAAACAGGGGAGCGTTACAGGGAATGCCAGGCGTATCCTCGGAAAATTTTCTCTTTGTCTGTTAAGTGACTGGGTTATAAGGGAGCGAGAAGCCGCCATAGTGACTGCACTATTCTAGCTAGCTGTGGCATACCAACTGAAAAAGGGAGAAACGATCCCTGTGTGGGAGAAACGCATCCAAATCTCGATCCCGAAAGCCCACGAAACAAGTCGAAAACGACCGCGAGTGGCCCGCATTACCTGGTAGGGCTCTTTTTGTCGCCCATGGTGAAGAATATTCCTCGAAAATGAGAAGAAAAGGGGGCCTCCTTTAATTGTCAGTGAGTGTAGTACGATCCAGATAGAGCCGCTGCTGAAGCTGTTGGCAGACAGGCTCCACTCAGCGCTGGCTTGAGGCACGGCACGGCGACTGACTGCACTTCGCCATGTGACCGGCGATTAGCCAATCAACGCGCCGACGGGTTTAAAAGTCTAGATGGACATTTAGTATTTATTTTAATAACCACTCGAGGTATTTGACAGACCTTTCCTTCTTCCCACGCGCGTCTATGCGGAGTGTGGGGTTGGAATCCGGATGGCACCCATGAAAAAAGGTGCTTCAAAATTGCATTGTCAAACTTTCTTGAGCACGTTCAAAATGATTGAAATGTCAAGAGAAAGTAACGAAAAGCCAATAAAAACAGAACTAATAGCAAATACTATTAGTATTTGCTATTAGTACGATTCTATTTTCGGTCCTTTAAAGTGGTCTTGAGTAATAATGACTTGGGTTTATAGAAGTTTTTTCGACTTGCTCTTTCTGGGTTGACTTTTTTTCATTCTGTCACATCAACCTATGAATTATTCAAGTGTAAAAACAGTCTTGGGGGGGGGGGGGGGGCAGTACTTTGTCTGTTCACAACAAGTTTCCCGCAGCAGGTGGCAAAGGTTAACAGACATGACAGAGCACATTTGTACTAACAAGGTGAGGCCCAGAAAGCTTTGTCTCTCAGTATTGTGAGTACTGTGTACGGCCTTCAAAGATTGAGAAATGGAGGGTTAAAAAAAAGATGTCGGGCTGGTGAAATATCTAATGATTAGCAGCATCTGAAAGTAACGGGCTTCAGAAATCCAGCAAAGACCTGACACTGCCTGAGAGATGCCGAAGTCTTATCAGAAATAGTAACCATGGCAGGGGGTGGCTGTCGAGAAACAAGGAAAGGAAACAAGGCTGAGCTATGCCAAATGACACAAGAGGTAGAATGAAACTCGCTGGCAACAGGTCGGACGGAGGGATGAATCCTCCCCAGAGCCCTGGCTTCAACATTACTGAAGCAGCGTGGGATCATCTGAAAGGGGAATGGAACAAAAGGCAGCCGACATCCAAAGAAGAGCTTTGAAATGTTCCTAAAGAAGCCCGGAGAGCTGCTCCTGAAGAGTACTAATATAAATATCAAGAAAGTCTGTCTAGGAGCATTCAGAATATGCTGAAGAATAAAGGTGATGATATCAAATATTGTCATTCAGGCTTGTTAGAACTAAACAAATTTGATCATTTGCGCTTTGCCTTATCTTTTATTTTTCCGTTTATGTTTAAATTTTTGCTAATCATTGCACCTATTTCCTGTTTTCCTGGCAAATAAAAAAAAAGCGCAGTGGCACAGTACCTTACAATATTTCAAAGTTTTACTTGTATACTAAAGTATATTTTTGTAATGCAAACATGTTGTTCAGGTCCACAAGGGAGTGACTGTTATTTACCACTAAATCAAGCAACTATTTTGTTTTTTGGGACAGTTCTCTCTGTGAGTTTAGGACTGACAGTTGTCCAGTAAACTGTCTCGTAAGCTATCCAGACTAGAGTACAATCACCCAGCATCATTTATTTTTTGGGCCATTCTCTTTAACACTTCAACAGTTTGTCAACATTTGTAAATATAATGTTGTCAAAAAAACATACCAAAATGATTATGCATGAGAGCGGGGTTTTTTTTTTTCCCGCTCAGAAAACATCTCTAAATGGACCTCACTGTGTTGATGTGGACTCTAATAGGACACAGAAGACATTGCTTCACCCCAGCATTTGCAAGAGAAGCATTTAATCTCCCTCTCCTACCCCCCCCCCCCCCCCCCCCCCCCGGCGTGATGGGCTGCGTCATGGAATGTGTTGGCACAAACACTGCACCTCTTGCGCGCCTCCGCTCTGCCCGGGACAAGGCTCTCTGTGGGGGAGACCAGGCGTGAATCGTGTAGGCTCATTAGCTGCTCTCCATGACTCCAGGTCCCATTGTGCATCCCCTCGCCTTTTCATTGCAGAGTGAATATCAGCGCCTGCGCGTCGGCTCGCCCTCCGCCCAGTGATTACCTTTGCTTAGCTCGTTGCACGCTGCTCTAATTGAGCTCCATCACGGTAGCTCACTGATAACTACAATTCAGTCAAAACAACATTAGGATTTGCCTCAGTGGCTCCGTAATGAGCTTCTGTGCTCTTGTTTTTTTTGTTGCTGTTTCAACTTCCAAGTTACTGTAAATACCACTAAGCTGAATAGAGTGTGGAGAGGGGGAATTCATCTATATTAATGGAAAAAGCCCTTGCAGCCACATACCTTTTTCTTCTTTAAGACCCCAATAACTGTGCATCTTAATTCATTGATACGACGAGGGAAAATGGAACATATTAATGAAGGCATTTAGAAACATTTATTGAGAACAGCCGGCCTAAAGGTGGGAGAGCATGGAGCGGATTCTCTCCTCCATCTTCAACAACACCCTTGAGCAAGGTGCTCGCAGACAATTTCATAAGGCAAACAGTTAGCCTTCATTCATTATTGATGAGAGGTGTGAAGCTCCAACGGCTAGGCATTAAGATGGTGCAAGACATCGGGGGGGTATACTAAAAGAACTTTGAGGAAATTGCGCAAAGGAGGTGAGCTCTGCTATTTAAGTTGGTACCAAACTTCAAAAATTAAATTCCACAAGGGACTGGAGAAAGTGGGAGTCGCTGTCAGGTTGGTGGTTTATGTACAATTCAAAAAGTGCTTTGACTCCGTCTGACTGCCTCCCTCGTATCACATAAACTCTTTGTTTGAAGCATCGGTCCTGACTTCCAATAACTCCAGAGAGGTGCAGAGCGTTTGGTGGCAGAAGACTGTAAAATCTGTTTATCGTGGACTGCTTGTTAAAAGGAAGTTTTTCCTTGCCTGTGTCGCCTAGTGCTTGCTCATGGTGGGAATTGTTGGGTTTCTGTAGTTAACTTCAGAGTAGGGGTCTGACCTGCTCTGTTTGGAAAGCGCTGTGAGACAACTGTTGTTGTGATGTGGGGCTATATAAATAAAATTGAATTGAATTGAATTGCTTGGGGAGGTCTCAGCTTCAGTCTATGCTACAGATAATATGTTGATCAAATATCATCACCATGCTGCGATAAGACATATGTAGCACTCTTACCACAGTAATCTCTGAGCATTTACTGCCAGTGAAGCCTTTTACAGAAGGAAAGATGAAAGAGTATTCTGTCAAACTAGTTGTCTGAACATGTCATGGTAACTTCTTACAGTTTGTAAGAACAGTCATGCTCAGAGGACTGACTGGTCTGACATCACAGAGAGGCTAGAAGAGAGATGTATGGGGGGGGGGGGGGGGGGGAAGTCGTGGATGTAGTTAAGTCAAGAATAAATCAAGAGAGCGACAGAAGTTCGGATCCTGGCTTCTCTCTCTCACCTCAGCTTCCTTGGCAATCGGCCAGTTTTGACAGTTGGAAAGGGAGGGGGCATCCTCAATCTATCTGACCATCCAAGAAACACTTTCTGATGTGGCCACCTGCCAGCCTAAAAAAAAAGTGTGGAGGGCATGCAGAGAGCCAGATTTTGCATCCTGTCACAGACCTGTTGATACCGTTCACCTCTTGTTGACCTCAGAGTAGGAATTAGCAAGAGTTTCAGATGCCTGACCTACATTCAAGCGAGAAAAAGAAATGCTGCCATCTTTCAGCTCCAGATTTTTACTCATGCATCGGGATATGATTAGAGCAATCGGATCATTGCCAGACAAATAAAACCCAAGTTGGACAATAGCGTTCGACCCATGACATGGAAAGATAATTCATTTAAAGTTCAATTAAAAGCTGAAGTAGTTTGAAGAAAAGCAAATAAAACCTCAGATAAGCAACAACACATGGCCTGTTAAACTCTGACATTAAGCACTAAGTCCATCCACATGAATTAAGAGGTAAGTAGTCAGGTCTGCACCCCCTCTGTAGAAGACATGGAGATCATTCATATTTGGAATCCACACTTTGTTATGAATGGATGTCCCGGCGAGTTCAGTTGCTGAGACCGTTGTGTGTGTGAGACACGCAAAAAATAGTTTTCACATACTGCATCTGCATTTCGGATAAGTTTCTGTTAAATGCATTTTTTCTACAATGTAACAGGTCCTATTTTTTCCCCCACCCTGGATGTTTTACGTATCATCATGTTTGCTTTGTCCTCATTTGTGCAACATCTGAAATGACAGAGGGTGGACATTCTTCAATTATGTGCCACCGCAAAGCCCCCCTGAATGCTTGAGGTGAACTTGTTTGTGAAACGCGCATTCCGAATGCATTTTAAGCGAAATGTTGTGAAAGGTTTTCGTTCCTGTAGCTAAAAAAGCCCACTAACAATGGCAGGTGAAAACCCCAGCTGTCAAAGGCTGATAAGTGAGGAGAATTGAAATGAGAATAACAGCACTCGCTGTTTGCCAATTTTCCTCAAAGGCACGCATAATGTCGCACTCATTTGTGTTTAGGAAAATGAACACGGAGCTGAAATCCTTAGTCAACATAAAACAAGGACAGAGGGTCTCACTCTACAAGTAATTCAACCAACATAACAACATCTTAACCAACCCCTCGTTGCCATGGACACGTGTTCCAGAGGATTAGCAGTTAAAAACATATCTGTATTTAATGTAATGAAACGCGATGAGGAGCTTTCCAGAAACAACATAAATGTGAGGTAATGTCTCTCATGATGCCGTGTTTACTCACAAAGTTCAGAAAGTTCTCAGATTTGGGCCAAAAAACACCCTACCTTTGTCAAACAGGAGCAATCTCATCCGAAAAACCTAAAGGAACCAGCTCAACAAGAAAGAAGAAACAGCTGGCACTTTAAATTGGGTGAAGAGGAAAATGCGTGCGCCATTTTTTAGAGCTTTCTTGTCTCAAATACGTCAGCGCTAAGCATCCCAGACTGCTCCTCGTTCTTCACAGAGGAGCCCACTTTGTCATTTCAATATGCCGCTGAAT